ATTTAAAAGGGAGTAAAGATGATCATTGAATCTTTAAAAGATTGTGAAATTTCACTATTAAATATTTGAGTAAAAGTTTGAGTCTCCCTTAATTTGAGTAAAAAAATGAGTTTCTCTTGATTTGATATAAATTTGAGTTAAGGGTTAAATCAAGTTTTTTAAACTTTTTTACTTAAATTTAAATTTGAGTAAGGGTTGGAGATGCCCTTAGGGGTGCAACTTGGCCGTAGGACTGTTAAAGAAGTCAAACTTGAACATTTTTTTAAGCTCGTTTATGTGTAAATAATCAAACAAGGCAGCTCGTTTAAGTGTAAATAGTCGAAAGTTTAGGTTCAAATTCAGCTCAATTATCACCCATACTTAGGCGGACTAACCTGAATTCAACCTAAGCTAAACCCGAAAAAAAACAGGGCTTGAGTTAGAATTTGTAATACTTGGGTTGGGTCTGGGCAAAAAAATTTCAATCCGAATTAAATTTGGGCAAGCCTCGAATTGAGACCTCGGATTCAACTCGAATATTAAAATCGGGTTGAACCCGAATATACATAAATATAAATAAATTTAATTATGGTTAGTATTTATATTCACTCTTTAGAGTTCAGATTTTCACTTCACTTCAAGTTTTCACTTATGCGTCTTTATCACTCTCAGATTCCTCTCACTCGTCATTCTTTCCTCTCTTAGCCTCTCTCTCTCACTCATTACTCCTTTCTCTCTATTCATTTGCGTCTCGTCCTTCATTTCAAATCACTACAAAAATTCAACCCGAATTAAGTAACTCAACTCCAATCCGATTTTTAATTCAAAATCAACCCTAATTAAGTAACTTGAATTCAATCCGAGTTCACCCGAATTAAACTCGGGCAGTACTCGGGTTGACTTAGTGTCAGGATTAAAAATTATATATTTAAGGTTGACCTCTCAAATCACCCAACCCACCTGAGTTGCACCCCTAATTCTGTTACCACTTGAGTTACTCTTTGGTTGTCTCTCTATTACCACTTTCTCAATTACACCGACATGAAACACTTCTAGAGCTCCTACCATGAAACATGTTGTGGGGAGAAATCTACGGCAAGGAAAGAAAAATATCGGTACCATACCATTATTTATAAATTTTTAGGGTCATTTATAATTGTTAGTAAGATCGGTCGCAAGCCACCTCACAAGTTGTAAATAACCTCCAAAAAATTATAATTTAAACCTTACAAATTATAAATTTTTGGGGTCATTTACAATTTTTTTTTTTTTTGCAAACAAACCTATCCAATGCAAACGGTCATAGTCCCACAACTTGACTGAATCTAAAACAGTGGAATTTAGTCATGAGCAGAACTCAAACCTACATTATCAGATCAATTATATCCAACTTTTTCATTATTCAGATCGTGAAACTTTAGCCAAGCATAAATCATAAGGACAATAAGGAAAATTCATTTCTCAAAGGTAGATAATTTGGAAAAGTTTAAAAAAGGGGAGATGAACTAAGCACTCACACACACATGGGGTGCTTAGGTCAATGTGATCTATGGTGAATTCAATCAAATGTTGTTGATTCTTCAAGTCAATGGGATATATATAGTTAAGGCTCTAACAATTGAATTGGGATCTTAGGCCTCAAGATGGAAAAAAGGCTTGAGGGAGGAGTCTTGCTCAAAGATCTCTCCTTTCGATACGAGGCCTATCACGCTCTCCTAAATTTTATGAATATTCATAGACCATTACCATCTTCTCTTATTTGTGACTTGTATATCACCACATTTCACGCTCTTCTAAATTTTTTTATCTCAACCTACAAAACTTATAAAACATAGTGGAACAATGCCTTTTTTTTTTTTCCCAGAACCATAGTCTTCTCCCTAACATGGGAGTACTTCAGATTCACGACTCAGTCAGAATTCGACTATTGCAATGTATGCAATCTGTGATTAACTTTTTGGGCAAATTTTGTTTTGCATCAAGACTTCAAGATTTTTATTTTGTATGCTCAAAAATTATATTTCACACATTATACCTTCAATGTACCAAAAATATTTCAATGCAACCCTTATGTTAGTTTTTTCCGTCAGTATCAATGGATTAACTTTTGACGAAAAAAATAACAGAAACTAACAAAAAGATCATATTGTAATACTTTTAGTATATTAAGAGTGGAATGTGAAAAATTTAATCTTTAAGAGTACAAGTGAGAACCCTGAAATATTTCAAAACTGAAATTATGAAAAACCCTAACTTTTCTATAGTCAAAATTTATATCATAGGTATAACTCCAACAATTTTTCATAATAAATGAAAAAAAAAAAAAAAGAGATGCTAAAGCTTATGTCACTGCAGAAAAGTCGTATGAATTTGCTAGTTTGAAAACAAACTAGAAAATCACTATTGAATGATTGGTCCAGTTGTAAAAATTCAAAAAAATTTGCTTAATATTTGAGTTCGAATTTTTATAAGTACGACGATTTGATGAAATTAAATTTATTCGTCAATATCTAGAGAACACGATGGACCTTAACTTCGGCCCAATGTAAATACGGTGAGGGGTAGCAGCCACTCACGAATGTATGGAGTGATTTATCGTATTCATATTATCTGTGACAAAAAATAAAAAGGAAAATGACAAGCTTGGACTGTGATAAGGATTTTATAAGTATTAGTTGTTTATTTATTTATTGATTTTTCTTTTTAAAATATCTGTCACTTTTCTCGAGGTCCAAGAGTGGGTGGTGGAATTGAATTCCGTGCTAGAAGATATGCTAAACACCCACCAACGGATCGATTTCAGTGATAGCAGAAAACGATGGACAATCCCATCGGTAAATGAATTGAATCTCTCCGGCCTCCTCTAACATTCTCTGTAAAATCCGCTTAATTTTACAACCAGATACATCATCTGTTCTTCACTGAAATTCATGTTGGCCAAACAATCCTATAAAAATTTTATATTTATATTTCATTCATAGATGGTTCAAGACAATTTGAGACTTAAAATGACAATATTAAATGAAACTTTTTTTTAATTTTTATTATTATTTTTAAAAAAATAATAATTTATTATGTGAGAGAAAGATAAAAGAAAGACGTGTTAGTATTATCAAGAAAAATATTTTAAACTTTTTTTTTTGTTTTTAACTGGAGTGAGAGTTTAACTTTAAGTTTTTTTCATATATTTTTTAACTTATTTTTACACAGAAAGAGAGTGAGTTGGAATAAATATAAGTTAATTTTTGAGTACTTTTTATTTTTTTAACTTATGATTTTTAGGTTTCTAATGTTATGGATTGAATCACGGACCCTAATCCTTTTTTTTTTTTTTTTTAATACTGTTGAGCCGCCCTTGATTGCAACCCCAAATTGTTAACAATGACATGTTACTAAAAAGAAGTAAATTAAGATTAGTAGAATAAAGATTGAAAAAGGATGATGTTATATTAAACTGAATAACATTATGGTACTGAAAAATATTTTTTTTAGTAGCTAATAAAAGTTAATAATTTTAATAGTGAAGTTACAATTAATTGAGATTATTCATGATCGATTATGACATGTTGTAATTGATCATGAATTATTTCAATTAATTGTAACTGTTAAATGTTAGTTGTAACAAAACGAGTTGAAGATCTATCTTGACTTTTAAAAATTATAATTTTTGATAATAATAATTTGTGAGAGATAATACTTTTTGTAGTTGTAACTTTCGACCCAAAAGTTATCACTTTACCTTAAAAAATTTTGGGTAAAATATTATACAAAAATTTTTGTAACTTTTGGTACAATATCATAGTCGTCCTTAAAATTGTGTCAAATTAAAGTGGGTGGGATGACTAATTTATAGTCTTTTGTAGTCACGTTCCTATCGCATTATGTTCTTGTGAATTCATTTACTAGACGAATCTCATCGATCAAACAGGTTATGACTCTAATCCATTAAATCTCTACATATATAACGAGTAATCGCATCAATTTGGTATTTATATTATGAATTATCAATCTTAAATGTAACATAAGTATATGCTTTTACTTTCCACACTAAAATCTCACTTTTACAAAATGAAAAATAAGGTTTGAACTCTCACATGTTTGTTCAAATTCCAATGTAGGAATCTTTGCAAGGGTGTTGACTCTTAACATATGAGACCTAACCCCCCTCCCCCCCAAACAAAAAAAATGACATAAAAATAAAAATAAACACCCCAAGGCATATAGCCAATGGATATTAGCTTAGAATAATCAGTCAAACTTGACTTTGGTTGAAAAAATAATCCAATTAAACCTTCCATCAGTGATGTGAAGTTTATATCCATTTAAGTGATACATTATAAGTTCGAATTCGAAATCGAAGTTTTCTAAATTACCTACTTTTTTAGGTACATCATTAAGTCATGTATCGACGATCAATCAGTCACGTATGAAATTTGTTAAGAAGAAGCCATCTGTTATGTACTACCTCAGCAAATCATGCAATGATGCAATCCATATCACATGCTTTCTCAAAGCCACAAAGTCCAACATATCTATGCACGTACTTAAAAGGATATGATATCACCTTGTTCCTCTAGGATGGATATTGTACAGATTCTCCTAAAAAAATTCCAACTAAACCTAATATAACAAACCGGAACTAAAGTCATTGGCTCGGGATAATTAGTCAAGTGTTCTAAGAAACCAGATATGTTTTGTATTTCTTAAAAAACAAGTGCTCAAAAACAAAATGATGAAAGAAACTAATACAAGAATTTGCCCAATTCCGGCAAATGAAACTCAAAAGGACATCGAAGAGTCTACACCCCCTACTCTTATAATCCCCCTCCTTTTTTTTCTTTTTTCTTTTTTCTCATATTAAAAATTCTTTTTGAAGAACAAAAAAACTATAAAAATTTAAAATAAGTCAAGAAACATTAGCAGTAAGGAAATTAGAAAACTACTAAAAAGAAAAAACTATTGACTAATTTTTTGCCACGAAACTTCGAGTTCCACTCCTTGATTCCCTACACTTGCACCTACTAGATCAGCTGATGAAAGTTGGGCCCAGTTTGTTGATGAATCAAGTAATCATCAATCTTAGATAGATCAAACATCATGTTCTGATGAAGAAACTGATGTTGCTGCTGTTGCCGAGCCCTTTGTACCTCTTTTTGCCTCCTCAGCTCAATCACTTTCCGATGAGAATTTGAGTGTTTAGTGAGCACAAAAGTCGGGCTTGCTGCGGGTCGGTATTCGGGCACGAGCCGCCCCGATTTATACCGGACTCCGCAAGCATTGCAAAGTGTTTTCGGGCCCATGGGCCCAGTCCTCCATTGTGGTGTCTTGTCGGTGGCACAATGAAGACACTTCCGCCCATCCCCACCACTCGTATTGCCGGCGTTGTCTGTGGCTTCCTTCTTTATTGTTATCTCTTTCACAGTCTTCTCGCCGGTACTCGAACCAATGCCGGAGTCTGAGGACGAAGCCATTGTGGTCATGTTGGTGGAAGAGACGACGGAAAGGCGGGTCGTCCAGTTGCATGGGGCGGCGCGTGAGCGCTTGCTACGTGCTTTCCCGGGGAAAGACATTTCGGGATGGAATATCGAAGTGTTTCGAGATGTTTGGTGGCTTTCCGATACTTCGTCAGTTCGGACCTGCCTTCCTGATATCAGGTGGAGCTTCTGCAAATCCTCACTAGAGAATGATTCTTCCACAAAATTGGAGAGCCACTCGAGCTCAGCCAAATCATCGTACTGCACAAAAATTGCATTAACAAGATCATATCTACTAACATCAACACACTTCTCTTTGAATTTTGCAACCTTGTGTGTTCTAAAACAGTTCAAAAATAACATTTTGAATCCTTAATTTTTATTTTTTTTTAAGACAATCATGATCTTTTTTCTTAGATGGGTTGAATTGAATTTTCAAGAGCAATTTTCTTTTTCTTTTTTAAACTTATCATTGGAAAACGAGATGCAACATGATGCTTGTGGGTCATACAATTTCTTATCAAGCAATGCTATAGGACCTAATGAGAGACTTAATTATAAATTTTAATGTTAAATAAAACTCAATTTTAATGTAATAATCGCATTAAATTAGGTCACAACTAACATTTTTTTTTCTTTATCTCTTGGTTTATTTCTCAGCTACCTATCAGAAAAGTAGAAGTTTCTCTTTCTAGAAGAAAACAAAATTCCTTCAGCATATTTACGTACAAAAAAGAAAAAGTTTTGAGTGTCAAAGTTAATAAATTTCAACAAACTATGGTAAAGAATTTTTGAAATTGGAGTCCTAATATTACCGGCACGCAAAGGTCGCTAGAGAATTGGCCATCAGAGAAACTCCGGCAACCCATTTCCCCGGAAAAGTGAGGTTCATTTACGGAGAATGATGAAGAGTTGCAGCTTTCAACGGCGGTGACAGTGGAGGAGTACTCAGTGGAAGTTCCGGCGACGGTGTCAAACGTACCATCATCGACAGCAACATCGTCGTTAGGGTAGTCAAGGAGGTCTTCAATGATGAAATGGTCACCGGGTTTGGCATCTGAGTGTCGCTTTTCGGGTGCGAATTGGGTGTTGTCGTATGTTCCTTGGAAGAATTCTGGAGTCTCCATTGAATGTTATGGTGAATATGCACAGGAGAGGCTCTGAGAGAGAGAGAGAGAATAGACAACGAGAGTATGTAGGAGAGTGACTGTGTCTATGTGGTTCAGTTTAGAGAGAGAGAGTCTCTTTGAGAAATGAAGTTTTGGAGGGGAGAGAGAGAGAGAGAGAGGTGGGGGAAGAAGAGAGGAGGAAAGGGTTTATTTGCGCTTGAAGGGGACAGGCGGACAGCTAAAAAAATGGAGGAGTTTGACTAGGAAAAAAAATATATGGTTTTGAGAACAGTAAAAAAAGAAGGAAATTTGATGTGAAGTTACGATATAGTCCCTGACCTTGTTCTTTAGACTAGTTTTTTTTTTAAAAAATTTATTGTTTTCTCTCTTTTTTTTTTTTTTTTGTACACAATAGATCAGAAAAGCTCTTTTGCATAATGCAAATTTCTAGGCAAAAGTTCCATGGGGCCATAGACAAAGAACCCACCGTGATCATAACTGTTATAAAATGGTTAGAAAGTACAAAAATGAAATAGAAGTGACTAATTAAATCATATTTCAGAATATTACGTTTCAAATAATTGTAAGAATCCAAGTAAAACCATTTGTGCATAACATGAAACAGTAGTAGATATGGAACATGTTGGAATTTCTGTTTATGGTGGCGTGTTATAAGGGCAAATTGGGTAGTATCTTTGTTCACCCAATCGAACTCGAAGATTAATTTATTTACTAGAAAAAATTGAGTAATTAATAGCCCAATTAAATCCAATCTAATCCCCTTGAGAACCGATCAAATCTGTTAGAAATGTTAAAATCAGTTTCAAGTGTAATTAGGCCAAGAATGTTGCCAGGTTTTGTCTCAAGACAAGCAACTCTCAGGGGAAAGATTATGGTGTTTAGAACTGATTTTTTTATAGGTAAAAAGTTGTAGTATAAAAATCTTCCTAAAAAACTCAATGTAAAAAAAAATTTCAAAAAGCTTTGGGGTGTTTTTAAAAAAAAATTATTTTGAATGACTTTCTATCTTTTTTGTGTCAAAATAAAAATATATATTTTTACTGAACAAGAGCCAAAATAAATATATATATAAATTATGTATAATAGTTCCAAAAATAAAATTTTCAATTTTTTTTAACGTCATTAATAATATTTTTATGAATATAATAAATTAAAAAATTATGTAAGATCTACAACAAACCTCCAAAAAGTCAGAAAAAAAAAATTCATAAAATTAGTTTCTAGAATAAGCCTAAATAAGCATTTTTTTTGTCTAAAAAATTGATTCATAAGCCAGTAAATAAACCAAAGTCCAAACATATCTAATTTATTTTAGGGTTAATATCATTTTATACTCCGAAAGATCGTTCGAATCTCAATTTGTACCCTCAAAGAGCAAAAATCTCAATTTGCACCTTTAAAGATAAAAATTTGTATCAATGTGCACCCCCAAAGATCAAAAATCTTAATTTGCACCCTCAAAGATAAAAATTTGTATAAATGTGCATCCCCAAATATCAAAAATCTCAATTTGCACCCTCAAAAATAGAAATTTATATTAATGTGCACCTCAAAGATAAAAAATCTCAATTTGCACTCTCAATTATAGAAATTTGTATCATTATGCACCTAAAACTAAATTGATAAATTATACCTAGATCCCCTCATGTTTGTCACTTAATCATTTGGATCTCTTTATATTTAGAATATTACTCTTACATCTCATGACATTTATGCACGTACAACATGTAACCCATTTTCATTGATATTTGTTAATATAACCGTTAAAAAATATAATTTTATCCTAATAAAAAATTATAATTTTATATTGCCTTTATTTTATGGGTCCAATATACTCTAAAATTCAAAATCAAGTTTACCATTTGAATGTCTAATAAAATGTAGATATTTATATAATATTTTTCATATTTTCTTTTATATAAATATCTACATTCTATTAGACATTCAAATGATAAACTTGATTTTGAAATTTAGAGTATATCAAATCCACAAAATAAAGGTTAATATGAAATTATAATTTTTTATTAAGATAAAATCATATTTTTTAACGATTATATTAATAGATATCAACGAAAAGTGGTTATGTTTACACATGTACAAACGTCATGAGATGTAGGGGTAGTATTCTAAATGTGAAGGGGTTCAAATGATTAAGTGACAAACATGAGGGGATCTAGGTATAATTTATCAATTTAGTTTTAGGTGCACATTGATACAGATTTCTATCTTTGAGGGTGTAAATTGAGATTTTTTATCTTTGGGGGTATACATTGATACAAATTTCTATCTTTGAGGGTGTAAATTAAGATTTTTGATATTTGGGAGTGTAAATTGAGATTCGAACGATCTTTCGGGGTTCAAAATGAGATTAACCCTTTATTTTACTCTAAAACCCTTACAAACTACCTATTTAACCTATCTCCAAATAGGCCCAGTGTCATTGGTACTGAAAATTATAATTTTATAAGTTTAAATTACAATTTTTTGAGGTATAACTTTCAACTATTGAGATGTAAATTACAAAGGCATGATCGATCTTAGAACAGTACGACTGATAATGAAAGTTATAACTTTTAAATTTCAAATTACAACTCATAAAGATAAATTATAACTGCTTAAAAATTTCATGAATGATTACCAGGAATAGCATTGTTATTAAAAGTAATAATTTTTGGTACAGTATTATTATTATTATTATTTTTTTACCGCAAAGTTTTCCAACTCTTAGATTATGCAAGGATGGCCCACAAATATCATCTATGTGGGTCATCAATATCGGGTCCCACTCATTGTTCAAACAAAGTGACTCAGCAAACTCGAAAGTGCAAAGCCAAAGCTGGTGATCATCATAGTTATGATCGCCCCCAGTTTGTACAATAATAATCACTGCACGAACCATACATAATCATTTGAACTCCGTCCCTGTAACTATGTTGTGGTTGCTTTGAATACTTGCCATCTGCATGGGCATTTTGGTAAATGGATTTTTTCTTTTTGGATGAACACAAATCTCAATCTAATTTAAAGTATGATAATAATCGAATAAAGATCTCAAATTTTATGACCCTCAATTGGAGTAATTCTAGAATTGAACCCAAATTTTAACTCAATTATTAAACTCAAAATTTTTCTCGAGTTTAATAATCAAAAGACATGTAGTACTTGAGTTAAAGGTTAGAATTAAGAAGAAGTCTATGGTACTGGAAAAAAATTTGTATTATACCATTATTTATAAATTTTGCGAGTCATTTTTGAAAAAAAAAATTGGAACTAATTTACAACGTTTGGAGGTCATTTACAACTTTTAGATTGCTGATGATCGATCCAAAATTGTGATCGACTCTAAAAGTGAGTGATCCTAAAAAAATTTAGGATCAATTACAAGCTCCTCGGAAAAATATAAATAACCCTTGAAAAAATTGTAATTTGAACTTGTAATTTTTATTTTATTTTTGTTGTAAACTGACTTAAAAGTCTGTATCTCACCCCCACAAAACTTATGGATTTTTTTTTCCCATTACTATAGTTTTCTCCTAATATTGATAGTTTTGCAATTAAGGATACACTGACATAAACCGGTAGTCCAACGGTTTGGAATTGGACATAAATAAACCGTAAACCAAAATCGTNTTTTTTCCAAATTTTTGAGATAAAGTTATTATTTTTTATAATATCTATTGAAACGGTAAAATACTAGATTGATTCTCAAATATTATAACCAATCATAGAAGTTTTTACTTTTAAAGATCAAATTATATTTTTTAAAATTGAAATAATAACTAATTGATACTATTTATAATCGATTATGAAATAATGTGATTGATTATGAATAACTCAAATTAATTATAAGTTATTTTTAAAAAGTATAATTTGACTTTAAAAATAATTATTTTTGGCACATTATAGATTATTTTTTGGGTACTATGGTGCTATTTGACTATTCCGTAACTAGATCACATAGAACGGGTGGGGTGAGGGTGAGATTGAGAGCGCAAAAGCATCAATATTTTTAAAAAATCTTAAAACGGAATGTCTTGAGAGCATAATATTATATGCAAAATATATATATTTGAATTGGGTTTCACGTATCCTTAATTGTGTAGGAGCGTCTTCAATAATATTTTTTATTTTAAAAAGTATATTTGACAAAATTTTGAAATAGAAGGTAAAATATTTTAGACAATTTCAATAGTCTTTCTATTATAGTGAAAAAACAGTGTTATAGTCAATAACATTTAATAAAGAATGTATATGTATCATCTTTTTATTTGATAAAAATAGACTAAAGAGTGAGTTAAGAGCATTTGTAATACTATGCTCACTTAATTCTTTATTTCGGAGAGTCAATACTTAAAAATTCATCTTTAATAAGCTCTCTATTTATATTAGCTAAAATAGAGATTTTAATTTAATTTTCTACAATTAAAGAGTCAAACTCATTATCTATTTTGTCATTAAAAATTAAAAAAAATGATGTGTATACTTTTTTTATTAAATACTTTGACCATAGAGTTTATTTTTTTACTAGACTAAAGAGTACTATTGAAATAGTTAAAAAAAATTACTCTCTATTCTAATTTTTTGTAAGAAAATGCTCTCTATTTCAAAAAATATTCTCTCTAAAATGAAGTACATTATTGGAGATGCTCAAATTCTCAACTTTATAACCCTTTCCCACAAATTCATGTACTTCCAACAATATTTCAGCACCATCATCATCCCTGACTATCACGATTAACTCATAAATAATGAAAAATTAAGATAATCCAATAATTTTTAGTATTTTCTAAAATATGTATTGTCAATTCTTAAACGTAGTTAATATTTATTCAAATTTGACAATAAAAACTCACTACTAAATTTGCATTTTGGAAAAAGTAAGCCTTTTAATAGCACTTTTCTTTTTGGGAGAACAAAGAGATAGCCTATCAATATGGGTTGTCTAAGATGAATGGAAGCCCACCCCTGTGTGTCTACTTGCATGGACAATTGTTTTA